GAAAAGAAAAGAAACAGGCAGGAGCGCCAGACCCGTTCTGGGCAGGGATGCAGGCCGGCTCCCAGCGCTGGAAGCACCGGGCTGTCTGGGCATTTTCTTTGGTTTTCCTAACCTCTAATGGCCATTGAAGGTTCACGTGTAGGGGGTCAGCAGAGAAATCTGTGTTTCAATTTCATCCCCCCTGCCCCTCTTTTTACAGATTTCCTGTTCTTTTTCAAGCCTCATAGTTGTCCACTGTGACGAATTCTCCCTCCATCCAACGCATGGGTGGGGACGTTCTCAAGTTAATGTCAAGAAGGAAGTTGTGCCCTGGCCTGGTGGCTCAGGCGGAGCATCGTCCCATCCACCAAAAGGCTATGGGTCCGATTCGGGTCAGGGCACATCCTTAGATTGCGGGTTCCCAGTCCAGGTACCTATGGGATGCAAAGGATCAATGTTTCTCTCTCACTCTCCTTTCCTCTCTCTCTAAAATCAATAAACAACATATCCTCACGTGATGATTTTTTTTAAAAAAAGGGAAAAAATTGTGTGGAGTCAAAATTATCCTTGAATAAGACTTAGATTTTGGTACACAAGGCACTATGATATAACCCTGAACAATAGTTCTTGGGCAAGCTAAAATTTCATAACTACCGAGCCAGACTCTGGAAGAACATATATTACATCTTTCTGAGCATTAAACCGCTTTGCTGTGAAGACAGAATTTTGAATTCACAATATCTAGGGTGGGGTCTGAGATGTTGCAGATGCTACCGCTGCCCCTACTACAACAGTTTGAGAGCCAGGCTTTAAGACAATCATTAATTCCCCCCGGGGGCCTGGGTGGGTGAGGAATTCGGAAGCTTTCCTATTCGGCTGCAAAGTTTACTTTCTTCTCTTTTAATATGGAGTTTCTGTAGACCAGTGGTTCCCAAACTTATTTGGCCTACCGCCCCCTTTGCAGAAAAAATATTACTCAGCGCCCCCTGGAAATTAATTTTTTTAAAATTTTAATAGCAATTAAACAGAAAGATATATGCCCCCAAATGCACCTATGGCCATCACTGCCCCCTGGATCGCTGCAGCGCCCACCAGGGGGCGGTAGCGCCCACTTTGGGAATCACTGCTGTAGACTGAAGTTAATACACATTTGTGGCTGCCAACACGTGTGAAAGCCTACAGCACTGGGCCTGGTATTTCATAGGTGCTCAATACTAGTACATGTTTACTGGGTTTCAATATAGAGCTTTGCTTGATCAGACCAGTGTGGAGTTTCCAGAGTTTCATGAATGTCTTATTTTCAGAGATGACGCCATTTATTCAACGTTCAGCAAATATTTCCTTGTACCTACTGTGTACCAGGTACTGTGCTAGGTAGGAACTGGGAATACAGAGGTGACCTAGATGTGGTCCCAGCATGAGCATAGAAGTACAAGATGATCTGCTAAATCCTAAGGCGGAATGAAGAAGCCGGGAAGCTCTGTGGGGGAGGGCCGAGGGCTGGCTGCACAGAGGAGGGACGGTGGTTGAGTGGCGATGATTGCAGGCCACTGGACTTCATCCAGAGCTCTGACAGGCGGAGTCCCAGAGCCTTCCCAGCACGTGCGTGCAGGGAGCTGCAGGCTGGTCCTGAATCCCTCAGGCTACTCCTGGGTCAACTGGTGGGCAGTGGCCTGTCACTTCTGGTCTCTGGAGCTCTGCCCAGGGTCCCAGTAGCCATCGGGGTCCTGGCAGCCATCATTCAGCTGTGATCAGAGTTGGAATTATTCAAGAAACCACAGGCAGCACCTCTCAGCCCGGGAGACAGGCAGTTGAGCTGCTCCTGACGTCTCCTGGCTTCCAGCCCATATTCTCTACTCTTTTCTGCTTGTCTCTCCTCATTTGGGGGACCCTCCTTCCCTATCTCCTTCCCCCCACATCCCCAGTTTTCTCTGTATCAGCTCGGCTCTTTTTTATTTTTTCACATTGGATTGAAACTATTGAATATATCACTGGGATTTTGTTTCAAAGGGCAGATGCAGGCCTCTAATACCTACAGTGGTCAGTGGGGGCTTTGGGGCTGTGGTGGGGGTAGGGGTGCTCTCTGAATGGAAAATGGAGGTACAAGCCCAAGAAGGATTAAGAGCTTGGTCTTCAAATAGCAGCCACACCCCCAGAAATGAAATTCTGCCTCAGCCACAGCTCATCCCTCTGACTTGTGGCAAGTTACTTAACTCTCAGAGTCTAGTTTCCAGTCTGTATAATGGGTATTATAATATCAGGGCCTTCTGTATCAGGTAGTTATGAGGCTAAAATAATATATGTTTAAAAAGAATGCAGGAGGCCCTGGCTGGGTAGCTCTGTTAGTCAGAGCATCATCCGGATACATCAAGGTTGTGGGCACACACAGGAATGCACAAATAAGTGGAACAACAAATCAATGTTTCTCGCTTTCTCTCTCACTTCCTCTCTCTCTCTCTCTCTCAAAAGAAAAAAATAATTAATATATTTTTAAAAAGCACACAGTACCATGCTTGGCCTATAGTAAGCACTTAATAGAAGTCAGTATCAATATTACTATTATTGTTCCTAATTATTACTGAGCAGCATCCTGTGGACTGGCAGTTCTCAGAGGAAGAAGGAAGAGCAGCTGGAAGCAGTTTCAGCTTGTTTGTCACCTGACACCCTCCCCTCAGCTCCCGCGCTGCCCCAGGCAGATTCTTCCCTCCAGGAGGCTGCCCTGGGGGTGAGTGGGAAGGGAAGGCTATCCTCCGACGGGTCAGCTCCATCTTCCATGGAGATGGGGGTGCTCTGGTCTTGCCCATCCATTTCCTCCTGATGGTGGGTCACACGGGCTCCCTGGGAACACCACAGGCAGGCGGAGGCGACCCTCTGATAACCAGATGCAGTACTTCCCCAGGCTGCTCTTCACTGCGTCCCATCTCCTTGCGTCTCTGCTGCTGGTATCGGTTCCATTTTGCAAAGCTTTCCCCAGGGTGTATACGAAAATGTCAAAAAGCAGGTGAGTTTAGATCCCAAGCTTGAGCTCGTTATGACCACGATCCTCCTCTATCCCACACTCAGGGCCGGCTTCCTGGGCGTGGGACCTACTACATGCAGAAGGAACCCAAGCTTGGGTTAGTGCTCTGCTGTCGCCACCTTCAAATTCTTACTAATTCTGATCAAAGGGCCCGCATTCTCTTTTGCACTGGGCCCTGCAAATTATGTTGCTGGCCCTGCCTGTCTCCCCCTGTGGAGAGGATGTCTTCCTTGCAAAGAAAAGCAAACTGAGGGGCAGAGAGGGGGGCATGACTGGCGCAAGGTCACGTAGCAGGTTGGTGGCAGAACTAAAACAGGTCTCCCTCTGACCACCTGTCCAGTAGAATTCTCTGGAAGCACTCCTGTGTCCAACTATGCCCTAGGGGGGGGCGGGGAGGTTCTGTGAGGGGCCACTGGCTGCGGGGGTAGGGGTGGGGGGCAGGGGGAGGAAGAGGAGTGTTAAAAAAAGCACTTAAAAGCCCCAATTCCCTGCCTCCCATTCTGAGATCCATCAAGACTGACATATTATTTGGATGGGTGGACAGGAGTGCCTATGCTCTGTATAGAATTCTGTTTGAGGCAGGCATTTCTGTGTGATTGCGTGTGTGTGTGTGATTGTGTGCGCCTGTGTGTGTACCTCTGTGTGTGTGTGTGTGGTGGGGATGGTGGGAAACAGACTAAGTATGGAGGAGAAAATATCCAGTTTTAGCTGCTTTCATTCACTTTTTAATTCCGCAGGTATTTCTGGGATACAACCCCAGAAACACAAACATCCTTAGGATGCTTACAGTCTAGTAGGCAAGACAGACAATAAAACTAAGAATCACACAAATAAATACATGTATTTGTTTCCCAGTGCCCAGGTCTTTTCCTCCGTGGAGTAATTCACAGTTTGAAATAAGGGGGTTAATGGCATATTGGCAGATGGAGGGGAACCCCGTACCCTCCCGGCTGACTCCACAGCCAGCCGCGGCATTTGGCGGCATTCGGATCGTGGCTGGGAATGAGACGTATCTTGGGGCTCCAAATGACTCTCTGGGGAAGCCTGAAATCCCACTGGGGGCCTTATCTAGGATTAAGCTTTATTCTTCTTCTGAGACCCTGTCTAAAATCCAAATCCCCGGGGGATGGGGGTGGCAGGTGGGTTCACCAAGTCCATAACTCAGTGCTGTGTCATGAGACAAGGCTGCCCAAAAGATGCCCCTGATGGTACCACAGGGGATGCAGAGGGCCACCGGACAGTCTTCTCCATTCCCCCCCTGCTGGTGACTCAGTCTAGCTCTGCCTGCAGAAAGGAGAGCCCCAGGGAGGCGGGGGGGGGGGGGGGGGGCGGGTAAGGCCTAACCAAAACCGGAACCCAGAATCCCACAGCCTCCCTGCCAGCTGGACAAGCCAGGAATTCCAGGCGCATCTTACCCGCAGGGCCCGCTGTATCAGATCGGCCCCTCCCTTATTGTTCCTGCGGGACAGTCCTGTTCCTCCCATATCAGCTCCGTGGTTGCCCACGGGACTTGACAAGAACTTTAAAGGTTCTTGAAACACATTTAAGTACCCTTGTGCCCCTATCTGCTCTCCTGCTCAGAGGCCAAATTTGGCATTCTACTGGGGTGGGGTGCGGTGGGATGGGGTGGGGTGGAGGAAGAAATGGAGCCCAGCTACCCCAGAAGGACCCTGGAGAGAGGTAGGTAAGTTCTCCCTGGTGGCTGGGGCACTGTCCCCGGCGGGCGAGGCGGGCTGGTCCCCTCACACAAGAATCTGCATGCTTCCTTGCTTCCTTCCTCTTGGTCCCTCCCTCACCAACCTACCTGGAGGCAGGTAATAAAGCAGGAGGAGGGAGATGGATGGATGGGGAGGGCGGAGAGCCACGTGGTGCCATAAAGCCCAGCTAACGAGCCCCGTCCTGGGAGTGTCCAGCCTGCCGGAGCCAAGGCTCGGAGTGGGACTGCCAAGCGTGTGAGCCGGAGCCGGAGCCGGGGCCGGAGCAGCAAGGCCTGGAGAAGGCCATGCACCGAGGCGCGCCAGGACCAGGCCTCAGGGGCCTCAAGGGGGCCGAGGGCTCTGTCAAGGACTTGGGGGGCTCTGGCCTGGAGGCCGGGAAGGATTTTGGGGTGCTGAGGGAGAACGGCGCCCCCCGCGGCCTGGGCGAGGCAGAGGAGGTGCCGAGTAGTAAAAAGCGCGCCCGGCCGGTGCGGTCCAAGGCGCGGCGCGCTGGCGGCCAACGTGCGGGAGCGCAAGCGCATCCTGGATTACAACGAGGCTTTCAACGCGCTGCGCAGGGCGCTGCGGCACGACCTGGGCGGCAAGAGGCTCTCCAAGATCGCCACGCTGCGCCGGGCCATCCACCGCATCACGGCGCTCTCCCTGGTCCTGCGCGCCAGCCCCGCGCCCCGCTGGCCCTGCGGGCACCTGGAGTGCCGCCGCCAGGCTGAGCGCGCGGGGTCCGCCGGGGACGCGGGCTCCAGTCCGCAGCGGCCGGCGCCCATGCCCGCAGGGCTCTTCGCACCGCGCTGTGCCTCAGTGCTCCCCGCACACGCCCCTGGGGCGGCCAGTGCCCGAGGCGC